GTCTTCAAAATATGGGAACCCCTGAATATCTTTTTACAGTGAGGTTTTTCGATAAAACTTTCAAAACAAAAGTTGTTGGGTTTTAAAAGATATATTTACTGCTCTTATCAGTTTGAGCTTGGATGGTGTCTCAAAGGTCAGGACAAGGTCAACTTTGGTTTTTTTAATAGAAACATTTATTTTTCATTACGGAATTTTATTCTACGTAAAGAAATAAACAATTTTTGTTTGAAACATTTTTTTATACGACTTCCATTTTCTAAGATATTTTTTCGGAAATATGTACAAAATTATTGGTTTCTAAAATTTTTTACTCGAATTCTAAAAACTATTTGAAAAATTGAAAGAGATACAAATTGTTTATTTTCTTCTCATACAGCTGTAAGAATTTTTTTACAATTTTGTATTAACTTTTTAGTATTGCGTTTTCTTGCATTTTCTTGAAGTATAAAAAAGTTAATACAACATTTGGAAAAAATTCTTACAGCTGTATGGGAACAAAATAAACAATTTCTATCTCTTCCAATTTTTCAAGACAGTTTTTACAAATCGAGTAAAAAATTATTGAAACCAATATATTGGTTCCTGTCACGCATCTGGGAACGTTGTAGCCAATAAGAGCCAACGTCGAGTGATGTTGGCAGCGTTGGTGTAGCGATCGAGCTCAATCCAGAGAAAAGACAAAGGTGCATCAGTACTATAAGAATCGCTGGCGATTACAACCCAAAGCTTTGCAATAGTTTAGATACAGAAAACGCTAAAAGGTTTGCAACGGTAAATTAAAAAGGTATGTAAAACCCACATTAAAATATTGGTTAATTTGTGTTGAATTCGCCGTAGAAAGTTGAAAGTTTTTATAACCTCACTTTATAATACGTTGTGAATATATTACTAAATACAGATGTAAATATGCATGAAATGGTACGTTGTGTAGTATTAACGTTTTTTACAAACTTATCTTTATTATTATTAATTTTATGTTGTGGTAAAAAAGATCTGTTGAATGAACGTAAAAGTGTTCGCGCGCAGTGTAAACGTAAAAACAATGGTACAATATATGCAGAGACAGTGTGCATTTTAACATTGCTTTTATTTGGTAAAAATCAATTTAAAAAATTTCGAAAAATGCAATGTAATGTAATTTTACATTTTCAATATTTATACAAATTTGGAATGTCCTCTTAGTAATTGATATGTAGCAAAGAAAACTCAATAAAAGCGGTGTATTGTTTAGAATAATATGAGCGAATGTACTAAGACGTGTACAGTAATTCTGTTAAATTTTTGCTTCTTTCAGGAAACCCAACCCTGACAATGATCAGTCTGTGGCCGACGACTGAAATTTTGTTTGATTTTTAATACGTCTATATATAATTTTTTTTATTAGACAGCATTTTAATATATAATATTAAGTTTAAAAGTTTAAACATGGATGAGCCTAGGACCAACTAAGTACGATTTCGCAAACGTCGATCAGGCCTTTTACATCGCATTTAAAATATTTGAAACAAAGACGAACTGAGATTAAAGCTTAATCGACGTTGGTGAAATCGGTTATAGTTTCATTATTAAAAAAACGCCTACTTTGATTTTACAAACGTCTCCATGGCTATATTTCTTTTTTCGCGTGAATACATTTTAATAATCAGAAGTTTAAACGTCGATGAGTCTGTAGGCGACTATTTTTATTTGAAATGATTTTGAGAAACGTTTATATGCTTTTATATATTTTTTCGCCTTAACATATTTTAATAGCCGCAAGTCGATCAACCTGTGACCGATTACTTTTATTTTTTGTGATTTGTAAAAACGTTTATGTCTACATTTGTCTTGTATGTTACAGCCTTTTAATAATTATAACTTGAAACATTTATTACTAATAAAAATTTGTTATTATTATTACTGTATGTATGTATATATATTTGAATTCCAAGTTACTTAATTTCTGCACAGCGCAAAGTTTTCTATAATGTCTCTAATAACATCATAAACGAAATAAATATGTAATGATTTTGTAATCTACAAAATTTTGTGTGATTGGAAACAATTTTGAGTCTTTGAAAAGACATAATGTGTACTAAACTCTGAAATGATTTTTCTTCTTATAAGCTGTTGCCTGGAATCTATTTTTGAAATTATAAAACAAAATATTTTTCTTATCACGGGACGGATATAAGAGATTGGCGGCACAACTTTTCCTCGGACATGGTTGCTAATGTGAAATAGCAATCAGTTGTCATATCTGATGGTAAGTTCTGCCGTCACTACCTACCTCTTGCATCCCAGCAAACACAACGTTACATGTAACATACATAGGCCCATATTCTGTATCCTCTTTTATCTAAAAAAGTACCTCTAAAAGAGGCTTAGGAGTCACCTAATTGGGTGAGGAGCCACATTTAAGGCACTTTTATCGATAAAAGAGGATACAGAATATGGACCAATGTATTTTTTTATTTTTATTTTTATTTAGTTGCAATTTCCTACTCAATATAACTGTTGTATAACACGTATGTTATATAAAAGTTATATTGTTGAGTAGGAAATTACGTTACATGTATGTTATATTTAACGTTGTGTTTGCTGGGATCCGTTCTGTTAAAAGAAAACAATTGCTTTTTATAATTTAAAAATTAATCTTCGGACAAAGTTTTGTATAAAAAGAAAATTCGTTTCAGAATCGAATC